TCAAAAAAAAAAAAAAAAATTAAAAACTTTTGTGCATCGAAGGACTCCATCCAGGGAGTGAAAAGGGAAACCACAGAATGGGATAAAATATTTGCAAATCAAATATTGATAGGGGATTAATATCCAGAATATATAAAGAAATCCTACATCTCAACAACAAAAACAGAACATTATTTTAAAATGGGCGAAGGCCTTGAATATGCATCTCTTTAAGAAGATGTACAAACGGCCACAAGCAAGTGCAAAATGGTCAACATTATTAGTCATTGTATTAGAAATGCAAATCAAAACCTCAATGTAATAGCCACTTGACACCTACTAGAATGTCTATAATTTAAAAAAATAAAAAAAAGAGCAAGAGTTGAGGAGGATGTGGAGAAACTGGCGCTGCTGTGGATCGTGGTGGGAATGGAAAACGGTGCAGTGCCGTGGAAAGCAGTTTGACAGTTCCTGAAAAGGTTAAACATGTCTCTCTTCGTCTCTCCCTAAACCTCTCTCCACCGGGTCAAGTCTCCTTCAAGACCCTGTCTTTGCACTCAGTGGGCATCCCGCCCCCACCTCCACTTCGCACCCTCTTTCTGGTCCCCCACCCCTCATTCTCATACTCTGCCTAGGCCAACACTGACCACTGGCGGGCTGGGGCATCGGAGCGTCAGAGGAGAGGTTTAAAGGTGTTCTGGCAAAGGAGCTGACTCTGATATCTTGCCCCACCTGCTCGAGGCTGATGATTAACCCAGAGCTTATATAAAGACGGGGTCATCTTCGGGATGGGGAAAGCGCCACCTGCAGCCATGGCCAGCACGCTGCGCCCTGGCACCGTGGCTGGGACCCCAGAGCTGCCTGCACTGTCAGAGCGCCTCCAAAACCCTGCAGACATCTCTGTCACTGTCTTCTATTTTGTGGCGGTGATGGCTGTTGGGCTGTGGGTATGTGGGAAACCAGTGGGCTTTCAGGGTGGGCACAAGATTGGGGGGAAGGTGTGTTAGGGAGGGAAAGGTGTGGTGTGACAAGGCTGAGACAAGATTAACAGCTTTCACAAATGTCACTGTCTTTCAGAATCATTTTCTTGTGTGTGGCATAAATAACGCTTACACTGAGTTACTCTAACAACCCCGCTGTGTGAACAGAGCTGGGACTGGCACCTTCAGACTTAACTGTGTTCACTATCCCCAGCATCCCGGCATAATGAATAAAGACTTTATTTTTATCATCTCATTTTTTTTACTTTCTTTTGTCATTTGCTCACTATCTTAGTAGGTAGGACATTTAGTCCATTCTTTAGTTCTAGGAATGAGTTTGAGGCTCCAAATTTTCTTCCAAGCACAGGTTTAGCCATCTCTCGCATTGAGTAGATGAAAATAAACAAAGCAATTAGGACAGAAGTTGAGGAATGTGATTTCTCAAGTTCTTTCCAACTCAGATTTTATGAAACTATGATTTTTAAATTCCTTCCTTTTTAATTTTAAAATATTAAGGGGGCACAAATGTCTTAGGTTACATGAATGATTTTTGTAATGGTTGGGTCCCAGCTGAAGGTGTGGCTATCACCCAAATAGCATTCATAGTAACCGTTAGGTAGGTTTTTGCCCCCCTCCTACCCCACCGCCCCCTTCCCCAGTTGATTTGCACTGAGTTTTACTTCCTTCTGTGCACACCTGTGCTCACTGGTTAGTTTCAATTTAATAGTGAGCACATGTGTTTGTTTCCATTCTTGAGACACTTAGGAGAATGGTCTCCTAAGTCATTGTTGCAAAAGGTATTAATTTATCTTTTTAATGGCTGAGTAGTACTCCATGGTATACACATACTACATTTTATTAATCCACTCGAATTGATGAGCACCTGGGTTGATTCCACAGCTTTGCAATTGTGAACTGTGCTGCAATAAACATTGGAGTGCTGATGTCTTTTTGGTGAAATTTCTTTTTTTTTTTTCCTTTGGGCAAATAACCAATAGTGGGATTGCTGGATTGAATGGTAGGTCTACTTTTAGTTCCTTGAGGAATCTCCATACTGTTTTCCATGCAGGTTGTACTAATTTGCAGTCCCACAAGGATGCCATATCACAGAATCCAGGAAAACGTTTCTCTCTGTAGAAGTGCAGGAAAAGTCAGCACCCTCAGCACCCTGCACCAGTCAGCACCCTGGCCAGAGCATCATGGCTGTCTTGGGTGCTTCTGCTGTGGTTTGACCCTCACCTGTTTTCCCTTCTCCTCAGGCGATGCTGAAGACCAACAGGGGCTTGGTGGGAGGCTTCTTCTTGGCTGGTCGAGATGTGGCTTGGTGGCCGGTAAGTGGACCAGAGTTTCCTGGAGATAAATTTCCTGGGTGTGGGTTTAAGAGTGAATACCGAAAACATTAGGGATGTGGTCATTTCTGATGTACCTTGGTTTCCACTTGTTGGTGGCTCTTTTTCTAAACCCCTGACCGCATGGCTCTGTCCTGTGATTCCAGTAAATGAATTATAGTATGTCTTCAGTTATGAGAGCAGGATTAGTCTGGCAGTTAAGAACACCCTCAGTTCAACTCCATCTCACGTTCTTCTCCCCTACTCCTCATCAAGAACTCTCTCCCTGGCTTCTCCCTAGCCCCCACATTCCTCCTTTGTTCCCAGTCCTGAGCTCAGTCTGCCCCTCTGGTTTGGATTGTCCCCTGTCACCACTCTCCTCCTTCAATGCCTGGCTCAAGCCCTTCCTCATTTGGGGAGTCTCCCAGCTCTCTCCAGCCCTGCCCTGGGTGTCTAGTCCTTCTGTCCTGTGCAGTTAGCGGTAGTGGGGGTGTTCCCTGTGATGGTGCCAGTGGTGATGTCTCTCTGACTCTTGTCCAGTGGGTGTTCTCCTTGCTGAGTTTAGATGTGTGGCCCCCTCAGCCAAAGTCTCACTGCAGCAGTGGCTGCCTCTCCCTCTCTGAACCTGGAATGTGTCAGCAGTGGGTTGGATACACAGTGGGTGCTCATTAAATGCTTCCTTCACAGATCTGCTAGCTCATTTTCTAAATAATATAAAGGGAAGTGGAAATTGTCTGGGATGATTGAAGCAGACCAACCACAAGCTCGAAATGAAGTTTTATTTGGGGCACCCAATCAGACATTGCCCTCTTAGGGCTGTTTTGTGAAACATTCAAGGCTCAACCAATCCTAAAGCCACAAACCAGCTCAATCCCGTCCTCTGTCCCCAAATATCTGAATAGAAAAAGCTGATTTTACAGAAGATTGGAAAGGTGGGAACAGAAGCAGCAGTGCAGGGTTCCACACCCCAATTCTGTTCTGCCAGGACTGGTGTTCACCCGCAGCCACTCAAGAGATCTCTCTTGACCTTTGAGTCATAAGAACAGCAGGCAGGCCTGGTGCAGTGGCTCACGTCTGTAATCGTAGCACTCTGAGAGGCGGAGGCGGGAGGATCTCTTGAGGTCAGGAGTTTGAGACCCACCAGAGCAAGAGCAAGACCGTCTCTACAAAAAATAGAAAAATTAGCCAGGTGTGGTGGCATGTGCCTGTAGTCCCAGCTACTCAGGAGACTGAGGCAGGAGGATTGCTTGAGCCCAGAGTTGGAGGTTGCAGTGAACTATGAGGACGCCACTGCACTCTAGCCCGGGCAACAGAGCAGGACTCTGTCTCAGAGAAAAAGAAAAATAGCAGACAATGTGCTGGAAAGGGAGATCAATGAGAAGAGAGTCCCATGGCTGGAAGAACAGAGAGGAACTCCCTCCTACTTAGCCTTGGGATATTCGAAGCTGATTAAAAGGGCAAGAACTGATGGGAGGTCTGGCAGTACTTGGCCAAGGACTGGCCCAAATCAAAGCATTTAGGTAGATAGAACAATGTTTCCCTAAGGCAGAGGTCAACGAGCTTTTCTTTAAAAGACAAGGTTGTAATTATTTTAGGGATTATGGTCCATATGTCTATTGCAAGCACACAACCCTGCCATTGTAGGACAAAAGCAGCCATAGTCAATATGTAGACACTGAAATTTGATTCATATAATTTCACATTTTCACAATTTCACATTTCACAAAATATTATTCTTATTTAGACTTTTAACCATTTTTTAATCCTTCAGAACTGTTAAAAAAAAACATTCTTGGCTTATGGGCTATACAAAAATTGGCGATGGGCTGGATTTAGCCTTAGATCTTGGCTGAAAGAAAAAAAGAAAAAGAGGGCAGATTCTAGAGCTAGAGAGATGTGGCCATGAGCTCAGCCATGGCCCAGCTGGGGGACTCTGCATAACATGACTCCTTCCTGAGCCCCCAACATCCTCACTTAGAAAAGGGGATAATGCTCACCTTTCAGGATTATTTGAGGGCTAATTGAGTAATGACGGTAAAGAGCTCAGAACAGTGATATACAGTAAGTGCTTAATAAATGCTTTATATTATTATTATTATTATTATTATTAGTAGTAGTAGTAGTAGTAGTATTATGTCGGTGCGGGCTGAAATAAGATTCCAAGTGGGTATGGTGCCAGTTTTAGAGGCTTAAATAAATTCCAGCTGGGCCCCCGAGAGCCCCCACCTCGCCCTACCCCTTCCCACTCTCCCCTTGCCAGAGGTCCCCTCCCCCACTCCCAGCCACCTGCACATGATGTTGCGCAGCTTCTCCAAGTTGGCGCATGTGAAGTACCAGCAGTTGCAGTCGCACCTCTGCATGTTCTTCTCGATGCGATGCAGATTCACCGTCTTTAGGTCTAGCAGCTTCGGCTGCAGGGCCCCATGGAGGGAAGAAATGCAAAATTACACCCAACTCTTCATTGCAACGCAGAGAGCTTCTCTCCTCCTCCTAACCCTCTCCTGGACCACTCGGCTGCTTGATTTTTTTTTGTTTTTAAATTTTTTGAAATTTCAATAAATTTAGGGGGTACAAGTTGTTTTTTGTTACAAGGATGAATTATATAGTGGGAAGTCTGGGCTTTTAGTATATCCATCACATAAATAGTTTGTTTTCTGGAAAAGTGTCTTTTACTTTGTAGGATAAAATTCGTTCTCAAAAACTTACAACTAGAGCTGAAAGTGCACCCCTCTCTGCTGAAAACTGGGTAAGGAGAATGGAAGAATTCAATTATACAGAAGTTTAATTCTGGTAATATACCGGACTGGATGCATTGGTCAACAGCCTGAATTTTGAAATGGCTCAATGATACCGCAAGAAAATGGAACCATTTAGGGACCAAAACCTAATCCAGAAAGGTGAGAAAACACCAACGCTGGCTTTGTCCTTGAGGGAAGCTGCCAAACTGGAAAAACTTAGGCTTAGATTTAATCGTTTTTTGTTCTCCCAATCCAAAGGTGAGGAGTCTCATAAGAGACCTTCCTGCAGGAAGGTAGGACCCCGAAGAGTCACACCTTCAGTAAAGGAAGACTAGAAAAACTACTAACATCCTGGGGTCTCAAAACAATTGCCTTATTACCTTGAACATATGTATACAATTAAGTGTAAATGGCATCTCCCTGGATAATGAAGAGCCACAAGTCAGGTTTATAACTCAAATGTCCACTACCTGCATGGTCTAAAAGATCTGAGTTTAGTTCAAACTCATCTCATACTTGTCAATCCTCTGGTACTAGGAAGAAGCAAAAGAAAACCCTCTATTGAGGAATCTACCTTCCACCTAGGCCTTAAATAGTGCAACAGATAAAATTCCAAGAAATAGGAGCTTGTGCTCAAAAATCACAAAACACTCAGAGAAAGAAGGCAGGCACCAAGAATGACAGTCAGCATAAATAAAAGACAGGAGAATGAGACCCTTTCTTAGTTTTTAGAAGTACCAGGAATATAATACAAATAAGTATATTTACTGTATTTAAAGAAATAAGTGATTAAAATAAGAGCAAGGGTTTATAAAAGTAAGCAGATTGTTTTATAGCATATTTGAAGAAAAGCCACATAAAACTTAAAAAAATATTAAATGCTCATTAGAGGCAGGTGACGGAAAATTAGACACTCTGAAGAGAGAATTAGTAAACTGAAAAGAGACCTGAAGAAACTATCCAGAATTCATCACAGAAGGACAAAGAAATGATAAAATGAAAGAGAAGTAATATACATGGCGGATAGTGTGAGGTCTAACAAACTTTTAATCAGAGCTACAGATGGAGAGAGAAAATGGGGAAGTAGCAACAGCTAAACAAACAATAGATGAGAATTTCCCAGAACTGTCTAAAGACACCAATTTGCAGATACATAAAAACCAACAAACCACTAGCCAGGAAGTATAAAAAGAAACCCACAGCTAGGCACATAATGGACACACAATACCAAAAAGAGAATCTTAAAAGTAGCCGGAGATAAAGGAGACTATTTTTAAAGAAATGAAAATTAGATCTTTAAAGATCCTTTCACGGAATGACAATTAAGACACCTGCCTTCTCAACAGCAACAATGGAACCTGGGAGACAGTGGAACAATGTCTACTGAGACACAACAACTGCAATCTAGACTTGCATATGCAGTGAAAACACCTTTCAAGAGTGGGGCCAAAATGAATTCAAGATAGACACAATGGAGAGATACTCTGCTAAAGAATGAATTTCATACAAAAAGATGGTTATCCCAGTACCAGAGGCCTGTGATGTAAGAAGGAATGGAAAGTTAAAAATGTGGACTCCACTGAGGTATGCGCCCCATCTAAACAAGAGAGTAAACCAAGAAAGAGGTACACATGAGACACAGAAAATAGAAGAGAAGCAGAAGGAACCTTGACATGAGGATGGAGGAAGATCGAGGATGACAACCATGGATCAGGTGCAGTGGAGGACAAGACCAGAAAGTTCTTGGGAATCCTTTAGACATACAAAATAAAGAGAAAACCTGATGTGTCTGAATGCTTGAGAAGAGATTTAGAAAGGATTTGGGGAAGTGAATTGATGATACAAATGTAGCAAATAAAGAAAAAGAAAACAGGCCAGGCACAGTGGCTCATGCCTGTAATCCTAGCACTCTGGGAGGCTGGGGTGGGAGGAGGTCAGGAGTTCGAGACCAGCCTGGGCAAGAGTAAGACCCCCATCTCTACTAAAAATAGAAAAAAGCAGCCGGGCGTGGTGGCACGCACCTGTAATCCCAGCTACTCAGGAGGCTGAGGCAGGAGGATCACTTGAGCCCAGGAGTGGAGGGCTGAAGTGAGCTATGATGATGCCACTGCACTCTAGCTGGGGCAACAGAGCTAGACCCTCTCTCCCCCTGCCCCAAAAAAGGTGAGAAGATAAAAACACATCTAGGAAAAACAATATTTTTTGCATGAAAGAAAAATAAACACAGCTTATTATATGGCTTATAAATTATATTGTTATAGTAATGTACATCTTGACATTTATCCTAAATGTGTAAAATGTTATAATACATAACATTTATCTACAATTCTTGTATAATTATATTGGAGGGATGGGGATGGGAAGGTGTCATGTGCAAAGTCCTCCCTTTCCACAGCAGGGAGCCACTAGCTAATGTCTAAAACTGGAAACAACTAAGATGAGGAAGCACCAGGAGAAGCGTGTTAGAGACATGGGAATAAATGCCAAATAATTCAGGCAGGATAAGTAAATATGATCACCTCTGGGGAGGGTGACATGGGAGTGGTGGGGCAGACACTTTCTAGGTTTTTGTATCTGGGCTTGTCTAAGTGTTTGCCTCTCTAAACTATGCAAGTTTATACATCTTTGATAGAAATACATTGCTAATCATCAGGGAAATGCAAATTAAAACCACAATGAGATCTCACCTTACCCCAGTCAGAATGGCTTTTGTTAAATAGTCCAAACATAATAGATGCCGGCGTGGATGCAGGCAGAAAGGAACACTTATACTCTGTTGGTGCGACTGCAAATTAGTACCTCTGTGGAAAACACTATGGAGATTTCTCAAAGAACAAGAAGTAGACCTACCATTTGATCCAGCAATCCCACTACTGGATATTTACACAAAGGAAAAGAAGATATTTTATCAAAAAGATACCTGTACTCGAATGTTTATGCAATTCACTATTGTAAAGATGTGGAATCAACCAGAATGCCCATCAATTCATGAGTGGATTAACAAAATGTGGTATGTACACCATGGAATACTACTTAGCCGTGAAGAAGGATGACGTAATGCCTTTTGCAACAGTTTGGAGGGAACTGGAGACCATTATCCTAAGTGAAGTATCTAAAGAATGGAAAAACAAACACCACGTGTTCTGACTGTGAAATTGGAGCTAACTGATGAGCACAGATGTGCGCAGAGGGAAGTAAAACTCAACAGAAATCAACCACGGGGGAGAGGGGAGGAGAAGACAGCTGAAAACCTACCTAATTGTTACAATGAGCACCATCTGGGTGATGCACACACGTATAACCCTGCCTCAAGCATTATGAAAGCAACCCGTATAAGCCAAACCATATGTACCCCCGTAATACTTTGAAATAAAAAAAAAAAAAGAAATTCTTTAAAGGAAAATAGACACATAGTGCCTGGCTTAGACAAACCACCCTTTCAGTTGACCTCCTTCGGCTCGGACTTTCTGGTAAGAAAGCAAACTGGAATATTTAAAAGATACAGGATCTAAGTCACAATGCTCATTGTCAAGGTTTCGGGAATCGAGTGCTTACAACATGCCAGGCACATGGGCCTTCAACTTGTGAGTTCTGTACTTGACCTTAGCATAAAGGCTGAGAAGCGGTAACTTGATAATTCTGAAAACAACTCAGGAAGGAATAGGGAAACTGAGACTCAGCAGGATAAAAATCCCCAAAGCTGGGATTTGAACCCAGAACTGTTTACTGCAAAGCCGGTGTTCTTTAAATACTATATTACCTTCTCTTCCAAATGGGTTTCTATAGTGAACCTCCCGTGATGGGGAAAATGCAAAAAATCAGAGGGCTCACTGCTGGGTCGTTTGGGATGACAGGTTTGCTGTACCTCCCTCCTTCCCACAGCTGGAGGTAAGAAAATTGAGTGGGGAGTCTGGGTGACTTACACAGTAGGTGACGCGGCTGGAAGACACAGGGGACACTTCGTTGTTGGCGGAAGTGGTCACGGCCAGAGAAGCCAGGGCAGGGAAGAGACTTTCCATCTCAGGCTCCTCTGAGAGGTTGTCCTCACTGTCCACCTGGCTACGTTTCTCCGCCTCGCTGCCCCGCCAGCCCTCCATCACGGCATCGTCCTTTTCAGGCAGGGCCGCGTCCATGCTGCCAGTGATGGACATGAACTCGTCCATGCTCTCGTTGGCGAGGAGGTCGCTCTCCAGGCTGTCCTGCATGGCCAGCTCCTCACGGGGGCCCTCGTCCTGGGAAGTGGTGGCCTCGCTGCTCTGCCTGTCATCCATGCTGCTGCCCCTGGGTTGCCGCACCGGGGGAACATTCCGCTGGGCATCCAGGACGCTGTCTTCCGTGCTCAGACTGGGCTCCGAGTGCTCCGAGAGGCCCGAGGAGAAGTTATGGGAGAAGGGATGACCAGAGTCCGGAGAGCACGTGCCGTTCACCAGGTTCCCATTCGGGATCTTGGGCTGTTTCTCTTCCAACCTGCCTTCAGCCTCCACCTGCTCCACTTCATCCACGGACTCGAACACCTGAGGACGAGGTGCACAGAGACAGGTGGGACTAGGATGTCCCCTGCAGCACTGCTTACAGCAGTAACCTGCATATCCAACAACAGGGGGTCAGTTTAAATATGCACCGTGCACGCAGTGGGATACCACAGTGAAAAGACTGAGGCAGACCATGGTGTAATATATATTCCCACTCGTGATAAACAAACAAGTGATCTATGTGCTTGTGCACGCATAAAATAACCGAGAAAGAAACAAGAAAGCATCGCAGTTGACTCAGAGGAGGGGGTCCTAGGGCATTGAAATGGGGGAAGAAAATAACTTTTCATCATACAGACTTCTACCAGGTGCACATAATATTTTTTTTTTTTTTTGAGACAGAGTCTCACTGTGTTTCCCGGGCTAGAGTGCCATGGCGTCACCCTAGCTCACAGCAACCTCAAACTCCTGGGCTTCAGGGATCCTTTTGCCTCAGCCTCCCGAGTAGCTGGGACTACAGGCATGCGCCACCATGCCCGGCTAACTTTTTCTATATATTTTTAGTTGTCCGATTAATTTCTTTCTATTTTTAGTAGAGACAGGGTCTCACTCTTGCTCAGGCTGATTTTGAACTCCTGAGCTCAAACAATTCGCCCGCCTCGGCCTCCCAGAGTGCTAGGATTACAGGCGTGAGCCACCGTGCCCGGCCCACATAATTTTTTTTAAAGGAAAAAATTAGTTAATATAAGGACCGGGCTTTAAAAAAGCATCTATTATATCCATGTGGTTGACTACTATGAATCAATTTTTAAATACAGTTACATGTACAAGAAACACTATGAAGAAGTCTCCAGAACGCATTTTAAAGATTTATTTGTGGTTCTTTGTGTCCTTAGGTCATATCCCATCAAGGGTAGACAGCAAAAGACCATGTTCGAAAGTCACTTGAAATGTTTCTTCTCTATGTGGTGATGTCACCAACTTGATTTATGGTCAGTTTCATGTGTTTCTGTGTTTTTAAAAACTTCTTTTTGGTTTAATTGATTTAAATTACGTAAACAATTTGCATAACTCCAGAGTCAAAACTAGAGTTTTTAAAGCAAAGTCAAAATTAGAAGGGGGGAAGCATAGTCAGGAAAATGCAGCTTCTTTCTCTGTCCCCTCTCCCCTTGGTAATTATCTTGATTCATTTCTAGTTTATGTTTCTGGTTTATGTTTCAAAAATCGATGCAAAATATACCTATATTAATATCTCCTCTTTTTACACACAGGGTAACATACTATGCTTTTTTGCACTTTGTTTTGTTCTTTCATGTTGAAGGAGATTGAGTTATCTCTTTTCATTGAATGAAATGGAAAGTTCTTGAACAACACATATGATGGCATTTATGTAGAAATTAAAAAAAAAAAACCTACCAAACATTGCTACGTATTATCTACATGTTTCTGTGTATGTAAAGGCACACAGAGGGTCCCAAGAGGACACAGAGCAAACTGATGATAGTGGTGTTGTTTCAGGGGCAGGTAGGCAGGGATTAAGGATGATTAAAGTGGACTTTGACTTCCTTTGCAATGTTTTCGTTTTTTACAGGGAGAAAAGATTCATATTCTGTTACTTTAAAAAAAATCAATTTTTAATGCTAGTATAAAAAGCTAAAACAAACAACCCAAAAAGTGACCCGCAGATAACGGACATCCAATCCCTAACACCCCGGGTGGAAGGGAGGGGCACGGCGGGCGGGGGCGGGGCCGGCGGAGGGGGCGGGGCCTCCAGGAGGTGTCACCTGTGTGCTGCTGCTGGAGTCGCTGTGCAGGCGGATGTTCTGGTGGCCAGAGCTGCAGCTCTGGGAAGACCGCGAGAAGGAACAGGAGGGAGAGAGGGTGAGGCCGCATCCTGGCCCTCGGCAGGAGGGACTGCTGGGCTGTGAGCCACTTTCCTGCCTATTCCTGACTTGCACGAGTGTCGTCTCCGGGCCTCAGCTTCTTAGCTATAAAATGAAAGCGAGGGCAGGGGCACTTCCTGCTTCCCGGAGCCCCCTCGGAGACCACCTTGGCCTCTGGGCCTCCACCTCCCACCTCCACTAGAGCACCCCCCCTTGACCTGCTCTGTACTCGAGACTTCTGCCTAATATTTTAGTTCAACTCAGAGTAACTGTTTGTATCAACGGCTCAATTTTTTTACCCGTTTCTTGTATACGTTTCTTTTGCGCTGTAACTTTGCAGTCCTTGCCTATTCTGATGCGGTGCCTGGCCATGTGCCTTGCTTCAGTCAATGAGAAGGTAGCAAAGTTAACCCAGCAGAGGCTTAAAACACGCTTGCGCATTTCTGCCTTCTCTCTCCAGCATCTGTTCTCACCACCAGCGTGTGCCCAGGTGAGCTTGCCGGGTGATGAGGCCCCTGGAGCACAGCCTTGTCATCCCAGACAGGTGATGGAGCCCAGCCGAGATCAACAAACCTTTTAGTTGACCAGCCACGGACAGCTGGTGCCAGAGTGAGCACCCCACCCCCCAGCCCGGCTCAGAGCAGAACTGCCCAGCCGACCCACAGACTTGTGGGCAAAAATAAGCGTTGGCTGTTGGAAGTCATTGACTTTTGGGGGTTGTTTGTTATGCAGGGTTATTGTGGCAATTGGTGACTAATAGAGATGATGGGTGAAGAGAATTAACTTTTTTCTGAGCTCCTGCTTGGGGCTGTTAAACTGGATGGAGGTTCTGGGAGGGCAGAGATGTTGGCCTTGGTCACTGGAATATTCTTGGCATTCTGAGACATTTCTGACAGTACCTGACACATAGTAGGTACTCCATAAGCATTTGTTTTTTTTTTTTTTTTACATGCAATACTTTTATTTTAGACATGCAAGGAAAGCGATTTCAGAATCTACTAATTTAAAGCAAGCAGCTGTATACAGATGACAAAAGAAGCAACATTTGGTTACAGCTCAGCACACAGCATCCAAAGCAAACAGGCACGAGACAATGCACATTTATGTAGCATTAAAACCGGATGGATAACATATTGTGGGGCAGAGGAAGGGATGCAGGAAACAAATGGAAATGAAAGACCAATGTTTCTCGATGCTTCAAATGTATAATGCTAAATTTCTCATTTGATAGCACATCCAGGTGCTTCAAATGTAGTACATTACAGCAAGAATGGTTAGAATGGAATAACTCATCTGTACACCTGTCCAATACTAAGTTTGGTCAAAACACATTTTCATAGGTCTTCTTTCAGTGGTAAACCCATCTGATCATGTTCTGAAGTTATTGTTTAATAACTTACTAAACTCAGGCTTTAAGCTCTCTAGATACAAGCAATGAATTATTTGGTACTTTTCCTTTTATAATAAAACATTCTATATGTTTTATTAAAATATACAGTAGTGATCAATATTAAAAGTTTTAATATTCAGAAATATAAAGCCACAGGTAATAAAGCATTAAGTATTTAAATGCAGACTTAATATATAAGAAAGCCATAACTAGTAAAATATAAGTCTTTAGGTATTAAAACTTAACATTAGGATATTTTCTTTTTCTTTTTTTTTAGAATAGGGTCCTTTCAAAATAGGATTTAACTATAAAATAAACTCAGCATTAATATTTTGAAAAAGCTACTATTAAGCAACAGATATTGCAGAAGAGACTTTTCAGACATAGCTTTCTGTAAATTCTTAAAGGGATGTTTTGATATTATTATATAGCACAAATGTGATTCAATAAATGTGTGTGCTCAAAGTTTCCTAAAAACTGAAAGTTTTAACTTTAAATATTATACAATAGTACAGATTAATTTTACTTTCTTGTATTATTTCCACAGACACTTTTATATGATACATTAGAACACATTAGCTCATACAGATTGTAAGATAATCACACAAAATTGTTCCCCCCTGCCTCCCAATGTTTGAACACCAAACCACACTATAGATTATGGCACTGCTTATTTTGATCTAGCACCTCAGCTATATTTTCTTTGGTAAACATTTTAACGATTGCCAGGTTTTCTTCCTATAAGATTAGTCACAGATGGTTCATTAATGATAACATGCATGTGTTTAAAATGAAATATTACTCAAAACACTCATAGGCCATATTTTGTCAAAATGAGATAAAATCAGTTTTGGACAGGAATAAGCTGTATCAAGATCACATATAGAATGAAAATAAAATGGAAAAGAATTAGGAATGATAATAGGAAAAAAATACAATCATAAAGGTACTGGTTCTGAAATATTCTATTATTATCATACAAGATAATCAGTCACCAAGCTGAGGACATTTTCTTTCATATGTATATCAGCACTCTATTTCCTCTGTGAAATTCTGCATACTCGATGAGTAGTTAGTCATTTAGTACACAGGGACACTAAAATATTCATGACATGGCTACAAAAGAAATACATATATTCTTATACACAGTGTACAAACTGACATAGATACAATCAGATTTCCAGAACATTTAGTTCACAGTACCTAAAGTTACCAATCAGATTTCCAGAACATTTAGTTCACAGTACCTAAAGTTACCAAAAGCTTAAGTTTTCGTTTGCTTTTGTTCTTTGGTTTATAACTGAATATTTAACTTCTAGACAATGCCCAGGAGTTCAGATTCATCTTTTATACCTTTACTGTATATCATGGTAAACAAAATGATGACCCATGTCCTCCAAAAATCCTACAAAATCCTGAAACACTGTATCTACTAAAAACATTCTGAAAAGATTTTCAGTGTAAGTTATCTGGTCAGTATTGAGTTAACTGAAAATTCGATTAGAATACTCCCTTCCACCAGCGTTTACATTCATCAGGATTTTATTACATGAAATAGACATGCTAGAGAAAAAGTGGAAAAGTAGTCACCCATGTGGTACTTTAAGTAGCAATGAAAGTTTTTAACTGTTCACTTAGAGCTGCAAAAACCAAAAATCCAGAGAGTGTGACTTTGAGACTAAGGATACTACTTTTTTAAAAATCCTCAAGATAGATTTTAAAGAACTCTCCAAACAGATTTGTTAAATGTCTATGCCTACAAATACATCTAACAAGATGTTTCTCACATCAACAAAGAACAAAATGTAACCTGAGGTGAGGTTTGTAAAGTGACCCTAGAGTGTCTACAGATGGACTTCTATGGGCTCCAAGAATTCCCTGAAATCTGAGGCAAAACTACGTACAAATTTTCCTGGGGAGAGGGCTCATCACCCTTGAGACTCTCAAAGGGATTATATGCCCCACCAGAAGGTTTGTGACTCCAAAAGTTTAAAACTGCTTATTTGAGTGTTTTAAAAGTATCCTCATTTTAATATTTATTCAAGTTGGAACTTTTAAATTTTGAGCTACAAAATCATATAAACTGTTCCCCCCCCCAAAAAAATCTAATAGATCCCTAAACTTATACAACCGTTAAATACAAAAGTATCTGAGGAGAAAAGTCAGTTAAATTTTAATCCTCAGATAACTGTTAGGGTGAGTACCCTTTCAATAATTCCCAAACATTTTAAAGAGTTGCTTTTCTTCCCTACTTTTTCTTCCCTACTCAGAATAAATTATAGTGGAATGAAGAAGCAAGTTAAAATAATAATAATAAATTAAACTCCCAAATGCTTCATTTTCATACAGAAGCTCTCATTTTCATAGGGAAGTTCTATTTCTATATCAATGATATTAGCAATTCACAGTATTTAATGAGTACTTTTTTGTCAATGAACCTCTGAACATATTTCAATATTGTGTGTAAAAAATAAATTATAAGCCCCGATGATGGATCATTATCAGA